CTTACACTCAAATTCCTTCTCGATTCTTTCACACTCTTCTTTATGATTTTTCTTTAAAACTTTGATAAACACTTTCTCCTTATAACCTTCAATGCCCTTTTTCCAGTTGAACAATGTTCTCTCTGAAGTTCTCATATGAAACTGCCATTTTAAAAAAAATTGATCAGTTAAAGATCTATGCAGTGAAATCAGGTAAAAGAAACAAGAACAGTTTAAGCTCAAAAAGAATAGAAAAACACCAAAACTGAAAACACACACAAAACAGATATAAGATGATCCAAAAATAAAATCTAAACACAATTGAAAAAACACGAACAATTAGAAACCAAAAAATTAAAACAGTCCAAGTCCAAATTACACAAAACAGTTCAAGTACATATGACCCAAAACAGAATCCCTTGATATGATTACACCAAATGAAATGCTTGAACAATTCAAATGGTTGATGTTGAAAGGAATTCTTTGATTAATCYGTGTAGCTACTTGAAGTCTGTTGACCAGCACCAAGCTGTCCACTGTTGTTGCTRCTGCTATTACACTCAAAATGAAACTGYTTTCMACTCTGTATGCTTAAACCAGTTTCAAATCTGCTGTTTCAAATCTTCTGTAGYACTTGCTGTTTCTGCAGTCTCCACACCAACAGCTTAAAAAAGCTGTCTTTTTCCAATCACAACAGCAAGCARCARCTTCTTYAGAACCAGCAACTGAAGCAATTTCAACAGCACCAAATGAAGTAACAATGTCTGCATAAACAGCGAATATGAACCTTTTCAAATCRWGCCAGCAAATTCAAACARTTGCAAGCAAATCAAATCTCATAGAGGCTGTCAAAGTGATCAACCAAACAGGTCTAAAGCCCTGCACCAGTTAAATCTGYTGTGTATTGCTTAAACARCCAAGTCAAGTTTTGCTTCTGTTCCASTCCTCAATTTCACAAATACACARCAAATAATTCACAACTCTTATGTAAAACAGCAAAAAGAACCTGTCACCAAACAGCTCAACAAACAGTTTAAGAATCAAATCTGCTCAAAATCAAACATGCTGCTGTTTCAGAGCTTAAAACAGCAAGAACAATCAACCAAATCTGTGTAGAGTTTGTCAAGATGAAACAAAACAGAAACTTTCTGTTTCAAATCTGCTTCAAARCAGTTCACTGTGTAGCTAATAGAAGCTCTCAAAATGATTCAAATTTGTTTAACAATAGTATAATAAACCTGCTGCTGTGTCAACTTGTTGCTGTTTTCAACATGCATCAAAAGAAATCTGATGAAGCTGTCTTCTCTAGATGACCAACATTCTGAACTTGATTAAACAAGATCCAGTTTTCACCARAMTTTCTGCTTYAAATCAAGCTGATAAACAATGTCTTTCACCCTTCAATCAACATCTTYTTTTAAAAACTCGCAACAAAAAGAACCTGTACTAAATCGCCTRGTTACAAGATTGCATCAGGTAAAYARCTTGCAAAAACAATGTACCTGTGCAGCTTGAAAAAAAAACAGTAACAAAAATGATTAACAGCAACTGGCAGAAGACAAAACAATAAGGATGGGAAATCTGTTGAGGCAAGTTCAATTGATCGAAGATTAAGTCTTAGATCGAGGAGAGCTGGATGAAACCGTGAGCTATTTAGAACAGAGATGAGCGATAAACAGTTTGAAATTTGCTCACTATACAGCTCTTGTCTGCTCAAGTATCCGCTCAACCCTAAAATTAAATCGCTTACTGCAACATCACAATCAATCGATCTCTTAACCGGACACTTATCCGCTCAACTCTCCGGTCAAGAGTTGATCGGTTTATGAATAAACCGCTCAAATTGAAAAACTTAAACCTGATGAAATCGAAAAAGCAAACCTTTATTGATTTCTGCGATTTAGAATCCGGTCAAGACTTCTGCGATTTAGTTCCTTAATCCGCTGAAGAGGTGTGCGGTTTAGCTTAAACCGCTCAATAATCCGATCAAACTGTGTGCGGTTTACCTCTTATCCGCTCAAGATTTCTATGGTTTAACCTGCGACTTGAATCTCATTCCAATCAAGAAGTGTGCGGGAAGAKGGGTGCGACTTGAAACAGGTACCCGGACTCTTATCCGGTCAAGATGTATCAAACAATATGGCCCAAGACTTATCCGGTCAAAATATAACGGGCCTGATTGATTTTAAGCCCAAAGAAAAASTAAGTCTTTAAACCGGTTGGACATTGGACGATTTAACAAAAATTCAACCAAACTAAAAATCAAAAGTAGATTAAAACTTATCAAAAACACAAAAAAACAGAAAATCTTTTAAAAAAAATGGATCAAAAACACTGGTTTAAATAAAAAAAATCAAGAACACAAAAAAATCTAAAAACACAAAATCCGATTAAATCTTGATTTAAAATGATYAAATCACAAAAGTTTGTGAATAACAAAGATTCACGATTCAATTTCGAGCATTTTGATCCTGTTTTTAACACAAAAACACAAGATTTTAAAAAAAATCGGATCAAACAGAAAGAAAAAAAATAAAGAACACTAAGAACAAAAAAATTCAGAAAATAAATTCTTCACTTATCTCTTATTTTTTCATTTGATTTCTTGCAAACCGCTCTGATACCAATTGTTTGTCCCTATGCAAAGCAAATAGCTTTAGTACGTTGGAAAATTATTGGAACAATGGGCTCAAGAGTTTCGCGATAAACCTCATCATTAGAGACCTCCTCGTTTAGTACTGCATCAAAAACAAATTCATGCTTTTCCATGTATTCTGTCAAATCTACCTTAAGTTTTGTCTCATAAACCGTAAGGGAATTGGCATGGCTCTGTGTAGTGATGATATCTTCCTCATTCTTTGCCAACTCCTTTTTGTTTAAGGGTCTCTTATGCACCACAACTTTGATCTTTGCAACAGAGCTTGTCTTCTCTTTTTCTGAAGCAAAACTTTTCAAAATGTTATCAGGGACACCTCGAGCTTTACCCGTCTGTTTGCTATTCCCAAAATATGGTTCTGCATCATCAAAGCTCCTGCCACGAGTAGAGTTGTACATTGGAGCACCATAAGTTCCAGCTACCGGCACCTCAGAAATAAGCTCCGTATCAAAGGAATGTAGATCTAAGAGACCAGGACTGAAGCCATTGGGGTCATCGCCACCACCAACGTGCTTTTTCTGGCGTCCCGGCCTTCCTACTTTAATCAAAGTTATTTTTAATCCTAATCTTTATAAAATGTTATATTTTTAAACCAAAAATAAATTATTTCGTTATTAAAAGAAAAATAAATTACATAAAAAATGAGAACTTTTAAATATTTGATTTGATATTAACATTGATATATATATATTTTTTTTTCAAATTTTATGATATTTTCAAATTTATATTTTATTTAAAAATAAAATCATTAATGTTTTCTTAAAAATGCATAAAATCGTATTATAATATCGACAAAGACAAATAATAAAATGAAATATTAAAATCAAGATGTGTCTCGCTGCATTATGAGAATATTCTTTTAATTTATATATAAATCCGACAAAAATTAAGAGATAATAAAGAAAAGCCAAAAATCCATGAAGAAAAGTAACAAGCCTGGTTGGTATGACGGCATAAAAAGAAAGCAAGAAATAGCCGAAATTAGTACCGCATTGCTGGCGTATTTTAAATCCAACCCCTTAACCTAACTAATAATGGCCATCATCTTTGTTTCCTTTCCCCACGCCACGCCTCTTTCCAGCTAACTACCTGCTTCTCAACCCTCTTTCCCTTTTTCCTATACATATGGATTGTATATATATACGCCAAATCCCTCTTTCTCTCATCTTTAAACTCCCACAAAGACTAAAGAAACGATACTCGCAAAATCTTAACAGCCCACTCGGCCACCTACCTTCTTTCCTTCTTATCTGTTTCGCAAAATTCCTACCTTTTTCTGGTTTTCTTTTTTTTTCTTCTGAAAAATGGCCCCTGCAGCCTTGGAATTTGATGGATCTTCGTCTTCTCCGAAAAGGGTTTGTGTAATGGATGCTGGGGGAAGTTTAGGGTCTGCACTTGTGCGTCGTCTTCTTCAAAGAGGCTACTTTGTTCATGCTGCAATTCACAGTCATGGTTTGTTCTTTCTTCTTTTTATATACCCTCTCTATCCTCTTGTTAATTGATTAGTCTTTGTGAAACCCGATACCCATTTCGATCTGCATTTGATTCGTTGTTTAGTTGCTTACAGATTGATTAGAACCATCTTGTTTTTTTCTTCAATAAAATAAATGATGAATTTTTTCTTCATTTTTGAAAAGGAAGTGTTGGTATGATTATACAAGAATGGATTATAAAAGAAATTGGGGCATTTAGGGCCGTTTACCAACACAAAATCACCCCACTTTTAAGATTATCGTCATCAAATTAGCATAGTATAAACATCAAGCACTAACTCAGTTACTGGGTAAGATTCTCCTTAACCAAAATGGCAAAGTAATATTAAGATCGTTGATAAAGACCAGATGATAATAGGCGTAAATGTTCCTTATATAGGTAAATAGATGGTGTTGTTTATGGCACATATGAATTGAAAATAACTTGAAATTTATGAACCATTTTTCAGATGAGATGCAGTCTATGGAAGAAACAGTTGGAGACAAGAAGAAATTGAGAGTATTCCACACAGATCCATTGGATTATCACAGTATAGTGGAAGCTTTACAAGGATGTTATGGCTTATTTTACTCGTTTGAGCCTCCATCTGATCAGCCTTCATATGATGTATGCACTCATATTTCTTTTTTGAAATATATATGTATATAGTATAAAGCAAAATACACACACACATTCGGTATAAACCCTTAACCTCCAAGAATACTGCTGGACCAAAGATGGTGTATTTTTCCGGATTCAAAGTTAACTTTTCAGGACTAAATCGTTTAAATTGTACACAGGAATTGATGACAGAAATGGAGGTAAGGGCAGCACATAATGTTTTGGAAGCGTGTGCCCAAACCGACACTATTGACAAAGTGGTTTTTACTTCGTCTGCTACTGCCTTAATTTGGAGAGACCCAAGTGACTCAACATCTTCATCCCCTGATTTTGATGAAAGAAACTGGAGCAATGTTAATTTCTGCAAGAAATTTAAGGTATACATACATTCTTTTTAACAAATCTTATTACGTCTACGTTTAGCTCACACACTCATCTTATTGATAAAAATTAGCTCATATGTTAATGACCATGTAAACTTACACATGTTGAAGATTTAATTGGAAAAAGAAAAAGGGGGATAAATTGGAAAAAAAAAACTTCAAGTAGATTTTCAAAAGCATACAAGGAATATTATAGTGGTTACTACTATATAGGGATTTATATTAATTTTTGATAATATGATGAAACAGTTATGGCATGGGTTGTCAAAAACTTTGGCGGAGAAGACAGCATGGGCTCTAGCCATGGACCGAGGGGTGAGCATGGTGTCCATAAATGCAGGATTGTTATTGAGCCCTGATCTCACCATCACCCATCCGTACTTGAAAGGTGCAGCCGAGATGTACGAAGATGGGGTTTTTGTGACGGTTGACCTCAAGTTCTTGGTAGACTCCCATATATGTGTTTTCGAACAAGTTTCAGCTTATGGTCGATATCTCTGCTTCAATCATGTGATTAACTGCAATAAGGATGCCGTGAAGCTCGCCCACATCCTCTTGCCACCCGACGTATCCTCGCTTCCTCCCAGGTCACTACTTTGATCTTATGTCAACTAATAAGTGTCCTAATAGACTGCTTTATATGACTTAAGTTAATAGGACCAAACAACTATACGATGTATGTAAAAGTGTTGCCATAAGTTTACAGACGTTTTTTTGGGTGTCTTAACATGTTTTTTCGAAAGTGTCCACTTAATTTTTTTATATTAAAATTTTGACAAGTGTCTTACAAATTTTTACCGGAGGTTTTTTAAAAATTTGTTAATATGTCCAAAAGCATCCTACAAATTTATCCTAACACAATCACATAGGACCTAGAGGTGTTTGGTGTTATAAATTTAAGTTCTATAAAGCTGGTGAAATTAGGTTTGACATTTTTGGCTTCCTTTAAACCCACCATATTTTGTTCTAGTGTACGAGTGAGACTGATTTCAAAAACTATGGATTTGCAGCATGACTGTAGGGGAGAGCAGGATGGTACCACAGAGAATAAGCAACAAGAAGCTCAACAAGCTCATGGTTGACTTTGAGAGTGGAGGCCAATGAATATATATATACATATATAGAGGATGGATGAAACGAGAACAAGATCAAAATAAGAGAATGGCCAAATCACATGTGATTTTACATGTGAATACGAAACACGGTCAACACAAACCAAAGTCCGCAGTTTTCGTGTTCTCTTATTTGGTTACTGTTCTCGTAATTACCCAACTCTAGATTAGATCAGAATAGATGATTTGATCACAAATGAAAAGTGCATATGGTATTTAAGTTTCAATATATACAGTATAATATTCATTCTTTTAGAGAGAGAGAGGGGGTGGGGTTAAATGTAGTGGCTGCTTTTGCCTCCAACCAAGATGAGAAAAATGTAACAAATGGTCTTTGGTCTAGCAGTATGTGAGTGTTTGGCTTTCTAGGAGGTCAGGTGTTCAAATCTCACCAAAGATAAGGAGGGTGTGTGAGTTTATATGTTTTATTTGTCGTATATAAATATTATGTACTTCAAAAAGATGAGAAAATGCATGCCATGAGCATAATGCAATGGCTTTATGGCAAAATTTCATTCAAACAATTGTTTCTTTGCTCATTACCATTAGAATTCTATTTGGTATTGAGATTGCTTGTCAGTATTTTGTAGTACTTGTTAATATAATAAGCTGATAAAGTAAAATTGAATATGAATATTTTCAAGAAAGAAAAAATTGTATCTTTTAAAATAACTCAATAAAGTATGTTACATTTATATGAAAAGAAGTGAGTGATTTATCTGCTCTTGAAAGAATCATTCACTAGGACTCATTCGTAGTTTCATTTGATGGTCTGTATAAAAATGTCAGGGGTTTTTTATGACCCATTCAAGAAGGGATGTTTATTGATATCTTAAAGTCGTATTTTGAGCCGGATGAGAAGATTTGGGATGATGGTATTGGAAAACTGCACACGAGAATCATAAAACAACACAACCAACTATTGAAAAACAAAGATCTGGTGCTTGTGTTGATTTGAACGCGAAAAGTGATCGTCAATAATATTAGAGATGATTATAGTTGATAAAAACCGGATATCATGTTTTATTATGGAAAAAAGTTCTTCAGCATTTTATCGTGATTATTCATGTCTCAAGCACCATTATATAACCATAATAACTAGCAGTTGTTGGGGTCTTTCTTTATGACCGAGTCCATTCAAATGTCATGGTTGGCCAATATTACATTGATTCTAGCAAATATGTAGGGCCATAGTCGTTCCTTGCCAAGGACGGGACGTGCATTTGCCTAGAGGCCAACAGAAATAGAGGCCTAACAATTGATGGGGTTTCCCTATTTTATGACTTAGGTGGCATTTGCCTTTTAAGATGTGTTGAAGTCTAAAGTTTGATTTACTTCTGGTTTATAAGAGATGTTGAAGTCTGAAATCTGGAACTGTAAGACTGTTTGTTTTTACGTCTGAAGTTTGAATCGGTCAAACTAGTGCAAAAGTATAAATATTAAATAGTTTACAAATCTCTTTCAGACCTCAAAATATGAACTATTTGATAGAGCGGATTAAGATTAAGAGCTATTAACGGATACGTTTATCATTTAAAATTTCAGAGGACATTTAGAACTTTTAAGCTCTTATTTAAAAAAACGCTATTAATACCAAATGTCTAAGCGAATTAGACTTTAGAGCTATTAAGAAACAATTTAAAAAAAACGAACCATCCAATTAGTTTGTTTAAATGTCATGGTTGTATTGATGCTGGCAAATATGTAGGGCCTAATGGTCTTAAAGAAGTTGACTTTGATAGATAACAAACTCATATTCTATAATCATTATTTCGTTCATGGTTGATACTTGTAAAGGTTGTAAAAAGGCAACTATTGTAGGGGCCTCTCGCAAAGTAATGTTGGTACATAGAAAAAGTTATTGTCGACATTATAGCCAAAAAGATCAAAAGGAAACCATTGAAGAATTTGGGACCATATGCACAAAAGTGACTTATATCTTTATCATCCATTCGTTGTTGTCTGATACTTTTAGTGCTATGTTTGATTTTATATTATATAGTTATGTTAATCTTAATTATTTGATTTGATAGTAACACAAATATATCCGATTTGACACAAACATATTTTAGTATTATGCCTTAGATTTGATTGCTTATCATCGGATAAGATCCGATAAATATCTAAACCCAAAATGCTATAGGATTCGAAAATGCATAATGGAATTCATATATATATATATATATATATATATATAGAGGGTGGTTCAAATACTAACCCAATATTTTGTACTAACTTTGCTAACCCACATCAACCAATCATGTTGCATCTTTGAGTTTGGTTAAAATGTAACTTACATATTAATGATAAGGGTACTTAGGTCATTAGTCATTCTTATGTAACTCCCAAATATTTTAATTGGGAGTTACAAATCTTATGATATCAATAATTGATCTTCAATTAATAATGACATCAAGTTCACATTTGTTCATCTTAATCATTTTTACATATGTTCTTAATAAAATGGTTTTCATATTATAAATTTGAAGAAGTCCGTTTTGTAAAGAGTCCGTTATAGTTCGACTAATATGGATAATCATACAGTAAAACAGAGCGACGACAATAAGAACGAAAAAGCTAAAAGCGACTACGAATACATTCGGAATTCGAATTCCGAAAGTGAGGAAAATGATCAAACCGTTCATATTGGTATGTGCTAAATATTTTTCTTTTCTTCCATTTAAATGAACAGCTGTTACCTTAGAGAATTATCTACTATTCTTGCTGCAATGACTTTTGTTGACATATTGAACATCGTCGGTATATTTTGGTGTTTGATATGTTCGGAACTTCATTTGTTTTTATGCTGCACACACGAACAAATCAAGGACGGTGGGATTTAACTCTAAGATTCAAGGACACAAGTATAAACAATATAAGTTACTCCAAATAATACTATGAATGATAATGACGATATTGTGGACATATATTTGTTTGATTATGCAGACTCTAGTGATACCTCCACAAAAAAAAAAACAAAATATATCCTATTGTTTCACCTTTTTATGCTACCTCGAGTTTAGTTACATAAACTGCTAGTGCTATTACTAATTCCAAGGATTCTTAAACAACATGAACCGCTACTGTTCATTACATATAAAAAACTACATGTATAGCAACTGTTCATTACATAAAAGAATAAAACGAACATCAACAGCCACTCATATGAAGACGGAGAGACACTCATATGAACATGTAGCTACTGTTCTTAAAAAATGTATAACTTCTAATGGATAACACTCGTCTATACTCAAAAACTCTTTTGATCATGTTCTAAGTCGCTATAAAAAACAAGATAGTGGCATTTTTAACTTCATAACAAATCGTAGTGAAACTGTGGACAAGCATTTACTTAATGTGAACAGATGGTCAACTACATGAAAATATAAAATAAATATCTCCGTCGAAAGAGTCAGAATCCCAAACCAAATTTTTTTTTACTTGTGTTCATTGACAACATTTAGGCTCTAAATAAATCATGAACACGTTATTTTTCAACTCGTTGAACATCTCACATGAAACATATTGTAACTGAATTGTCAATGATAATAACAAATAATGTTAACATACATAGTTGATCATGTGGCTATAAACAACACACTAGTGATCACATGATTTTTATCCAAAAATATGAATAACATGTACTATTCAATTAAGGTAAGTAAAAATTATAACAAAAAAAAAAAAAACTAAAATACATAATCACACATGTGTTCATCTATAACATTTTGTCTCTACAACAACTTATCAAAACATGTTAACATTTTGGTGTTTGATATGTTCGGAACTTCATTTGTATTTCTACTGCACACACGAACAAATCAAGGATGGTGGGATTTAACTCTGACAGATATTTCACTTGTATGAACAGCTACTGTTCATTACAATATAGACTAAATTCAACATGAACAACATCTCATATGAACATGAATAGCTATTGTTCATTATACAGATGAGAGACAACATGAATAGCTACTGTTCATTGCAATATAGTCTAAAATCAACATGAACAACATCTCATATGAACCTATAACTACTGCAGACAGTGAAACAAACTGAAGATACATGTATGAACAAATTTGAATCAATGTGTTATCGTTCTTGTTCACACACACCGAATTACGTAGCCGTAGAAGCTGGGATTTAACTCCAAAATTCAAGGACACAAGTATAAACAATATAAGTTCTTCTTTAACTCTGTTTTTTTGTCCTAAAAAACCAGACCTGTAATCAGTATATCGGGAAGTGTTTCGTGTGTGCCACTTAACCGACCATGTTGTGATTGAGGCTGGGAGATATATCATTCGTATGAGGAGATATTGTTCATTATACAGATAAAAAACAACATGAACAACTACTGTTCATTACATAAAAGACTAAAATGAACATGAACAGCCACTCATATGAACATGTAGCTACTGCAGATAGTAATTCAAACTGAAGATATGTGTACGAACAGCTCTAAATACATGTTACTAGTTTTATGTAAAACTGATTTACTTCGAGGATTTTCTACTCGAAAATTTTCAATTCCCTATCCTTTGAATGTCCCATGGATTGATGTTAGTTTTTAATGCTTGTTCTAAATAGTGACAAAAAGATGACAGACCAACAAAGCAAAACGTTTCATAAACCCAAGCAAAATGAACCCGATATATATCATACAGACGTTGATGTGTAAGATACATGCAGACTGTCACAATACAATTGTTTCATGTGCTAGCTAATATATGTGAGAGCCAGACCACTTTAACTATAAATACTTTTAAAAGCTGAAAAAAAGCATTCACATTTATATACGATGGAAATGCATGGTAAATAATATCTACGATTATTCAACATTACGTTCACTTTATACAGTGATATTCACTACCTATTGTGATTGTGTCATGGAGATACCAACTTACTTGTCCACCAAATATGAAATGGAACCTTGCATCACTGTGCTATCTTTTTAATTCTATAGTTTGTGTAATAATAAGTTTAGTTTTCAAGACTAACTACATCTTTACCAGCAGGTTTTGATGATTTCACCCCTCCACATCCCGATTTTGAATTTGATATAGGCGAGACCTCAGAAGGAAGCAAGTATTTTATCCCAATTGTGGATGACGCGCTTAAGCCAAAGACGAATGCACAATATGCAACTTTAAACGATGCTGAAAAGATGTACAGAGCTTACGCGGACAAGGCCGAATTTGATGTTCGTGTACATGCCAAAAAAAAACAAACAAACACGGAAACATTCAAAATAGATGGTTTGTGTGTAGTAGAGAGGGTAACCCAAAAAAAGGGCAATTTAATTCTTTGGAGATTCAGCCCGGTGAGAGGAGATATCGCAA